GGGTCTCCTGCATTGCAGTCATATTCTTTACTGTCTGAGCCAGCAGTATCTTTTCATGCGAAGTACGGCTTCTCTGTTCTTTCTTGGCATACAGTTGCTTTGCAGTGTTGTGTTAGTTTCTGCTATAGAGCAAAGGGAATCAGCTGTGTGCATACATACACTCCCTCTATTTTGAATTTCCTTCCCCTTTAGGTCACCACAGAGCACTGAATACAGTTCTCTGTGCTGCACGGCAGATTCTCATTAGTTATCCATTTTGTACACAGTAGTGTAAACATGGGCTTCCCAGCTGGCTCAGAGGGTAAAGAACCCTCCTGCCAGGGCAGGAGACACAAGGGACGTGGTTGCAACCCCTGAGTCAGGAAGATCCCCTGGAGTAGGAAATGGCACCCCACTCTAGTATTCTTGCCTAGAAAATCCCATGGACAGAGGAGCCTGGCAGACTACAGTCCATGAGGTTGCAAAGAGTCGGATATGGCTGAGCACAGCAATACAGCACAATGTGTATATGTCAACCCCAGTCTCCCAATCCATCACACCCCCCCTTTTCCCCTTGGTACCCATACATTTATTGTCTATACCACCCCATTCTTATCCTTTATGCTGGGGAGTTAGGTGTTCTTTTGGGCTGAGAGTTTGTTTGGTTGTTTTGGGGGGGGCGGTATTTTTGCACCTTACTATACTTCTTCTGAATGAACCATGCTCAAAAAATTAGAGGAAAATAAGCCATAAACTAGAAGGCACTTAAGGATTTTACTAGGACTCAGCCATTAATTTGTTTGATGAGTATTTATTGAGTGCTTGCTAAGCGCCAGGCGCCACGATAGGTACCAACAGTGCTGAGATGAATCAGTATTTTCCCTCTTCTTTAAGACTCTCTTGGGCCAATTTTTATAAACATAAAATACTATGTAAGTGCAGTGAATGAGTGAGATAGAAAAAAAATCAGTCGGATGCAAGCCAGAATGATGGGTCTAGTCACAGCCATGCCATCCACACTGTGTGTGAGCTAGGCAAATCATAGCATCTTCCACAGCCTCAGTTTCCCCATCCACTGGGTGTGGAGACTGTGGGAATCGAGGGGTGTTTTGTCAGCTCAAGCAAGCTCTACTAGAGTGAGAGAGGTTGTCCCACCTGCCTCTCCAGTGCCAGCAAAGCTACGCTACCTCTGAGATTCTGGCTAGAATTCTTTTTTGCCTCTTCCGAACTTCTGGTAGTGACTGTCAACCCTTAGCCTTCTTTGACTTACGGCTGCATCCCTCCAGTCTCTGCCTCCGTTATTACATGGCTGTGTGTCCCTATCTTCACCGGGTGTTTTCCTCTTCTTTTCTGAATGTTATTTTAATTTTGTTTCCTTATTTTTGTCTGCACCAGGCCTTCATTACTGTGCATGGGCTTTCTGTAGTTGCAAAGTGCAGGCTTCTCATGGCAGTGGCCTCTCTTGTGAAGTATGGATTCCAGGTGCACGGGCTTCAGTAGTCACAGTGCACAGGTTTAGTTCCCTTGTGGCATGGGGAATCTTCCCAGACCAGGGATCAAACCTGTGTCTCCTGCATTGGCAGATGGATTCTTAACCACTGGACCACCAAGGAAGTCCCTGTTTTTCTCTTCTGAAGAGGACACCAGTCCCATTGGACTAGGGCCCACGACCATGACTTCATCTTAACTTGATAGCAGCTGTAGAGACCCTGTTTCCAAGTAGGGTCCCATTGACAGGTCCTGGGGGTTAGGATTTCAACATATCTTTTGACAGGATACAATGTAGCCCATGACAGGGATCTTGGACATGAGACTTGACCTCCATTTGCCTCAGTTTCCTCATCCCGTAAGATGGGAAGGATTACATACCACATTTTGTGAGAGGATTGAATGGGCTCCAGTAGGCTGAGAACCTGGCAATGTGAGTGTCTTTTATGCCAGGCAGCATCACTGGGCCAGGTGCTTCTAAGTGTATCAGAGAGCTGGGGTGTAGGCAGATCCTGGGATGGAGGGGCTGCCTTGGTACCAAGGGACCTCCACCATTTCTCCTACATTCAGCCCTGCCCTCCTCTCCCCACCCCCCACCACTCTGTCTGCATCCCAAACCTGCCTCCTGAGACAGCCCAGACTTTTTTCATCTGTTGGCCAGTGCAGGCTTACTCTCCCTGGTCTATATTTAGCCCTAAGAAATGGGAACAAAATGCCTCAGCCGCAGCAGCACTGGAGGGGGGAACACAAAGCCAGTTCTGCCTTCTGCCCAGCCCTTTCTGCTGACCCTTTTCTTTCTTCCAGAACCTTCCAGAAGCAAAGCATTAGAACTCTGTTAGAACACAAGTGTGAGCTGGGACTGGCACGTTCACTGTCCCCAGAACCTGTCTGTGTCCATGATGATAAAAGTTGGCCTCTTTGGTTTGTTTTCTTTCTTAATTATTGTGATAAAATAAGTATAACCTAAAATTTACCATCTAATCCATTTAGGTGTCCACTTCATTGGCATTAAGTGCATTCATGTTGATATAAATTGTTACCACCATCCATCTCCAGAACTTTCTCACCTTGCAGAACTGAAACTCTGTCCTCGTTAAACACTAACCCTCTGTCCCCCTCCCCCAGACCCTGCCCACCGTTCTACTTTCTGTCTCTGAATTTGACAAATATGGGAACTTCATATGAGTACAATCATACAGTTTTTATCCTTTCATGTCTGGCTTATTTTGCTTAGTATGATGTCCTCAGGATTCATCCACATTGTAGCATGTGTCAGAATCTCCTTGCTTTTTTAAGGTAAAATTGACTTTGTTTGAAAAAAAAACTTTGGGGAGGTTCAAGTGAAATCAATATATAGAACACCTCACAAATCATAAGCAAGGAGCTTGATAAATTTTCACAAACTGGACCCATGGGTTTAACCAGCACCCAGAATCAGGAATCAGAGCCTTCTCAGCCTCAGAGCTTCTCCTCTTGCCCTCTCCTCAGTCACTACTCTCTCCAAAAGATACTCCATCTAGACCTCAGATATCAGCTTGTTTGCCTGTTTTTTTATTTTACATGAATAGAATCTTACATATTGGGCTGGCCAAAAAGTCCTACTGGGTTTTCTGTAGCATCAGGTGGAAAAACCCAAATGAGCTTTTTGGCCAATCCAATATATGCTCTTTTCTGTCTGGCTTTTGCTGGATGCCAGGTCTGTAAGGTTTCATATGATGAATGGCAGTCTTTCATTGCACAATATTCCATTTATTTATTTTCTCTCTTGTTGACAAGGATTCAGATTGTTTCTAGTTTGGAGCTGTTATGAAGATCACCACTATGAACTTTCTTACTATATCTTTGGCATAGACAATTTCACATTTCTGTTGGATAATATCCCAGGGGTGCCATGTTCAGGTCATAGTGAAGGTGCATGATTAATTTTAGTAGAAATTCCCATCCCATTTCAAAGTGGTTGTACTATGTGTGATGGATTGAATTGTGCCTCTTCCCAAATTCACATGTTGAAGCTCTAACCCTTAGTTCCTCAGAATATGACTTTATTTGGGAATGGAGTCATTGCAGGAGTAATTGGTTAAGATGAGGCCATTAGCACGGGCCCTAATCCAATATGACTGGTGTCCCTGTAGAAAGGGGAAATATGGACACAGAGGCAGACATGCACAGAGAGAGAAAGGCATGTATTGATGAAGACAGAAATCAGGGTGATGCATCTACAAGCCAAGGAGCCACCAAAGATTGTCAGCAAACCCCGAGATACCAGGGGAAAGGCATGGAACATATTCTCCCTCAGAGGCTCTAGAAGGAACCAACCATGCTGATACCCTGATCTTGGGTTTCTGGCCTCCAGAACTATAAGCCAATAAATTTCCATTGGTTGAAGCCACTCATTTGGTGGTTCTTTGTTACAGCAGCTGCAGGGAACTCATACACCATGTTACCCTCCACTGACAGCATGTGAGAGTTCTAGTTCCTTCACAGACTCACCAGCCCCTGGTGTTGTCAGTCATTCTCATTTTAGCCTTTCTGCAGGGCAGCAGTAGCACTGAATGTGCTTTTAAAGGTGAGCTTTTAAAGCCACATTTGGGGGCCCCACATTCTGCAGATGTCACAGAGCTGATGAAGCACCAGAAGGCTTCCCCCCAGGACAGAGGTTAAGTCCATAGGCTCTGGGGTCTGGCCACCTGGTTCAAATCCCATGTCCACCACTGTCTAGCTCTATAAGCTCAGGCTGCAGTTTTGCCTTCATGGGCCTTGTTTTCCACAATTCATGACAATAACATAGGGACATCATGAGGATTAAAGGAGTAAATAAACCAGCATCAGTAATATGCTTAGAAGGGTGTCTGGCACACAAAAAAAGTACTCTCTAAGTGCTGGATTTTATGTTTCTTTCTTTCTCTAGTCTTGATTTTCTTCCCCTCCTAACTTCCTCCTTGTCATAGTGTTCTGTTCTCCCAGAGAAGAATATTCTATTTGTGGACAATCCTCCCCCATGAAAATTGACCTAGCTAGGCTTTTCTGGCAGTGTTTCTGTGGTTGACATTGATGCTGCAGGCAATAGAAGAGGGAGACACTTGAGGAAAAGGTTCATGGTCCTGCTGTCTAGCTTGGTGATTTAACCTAGAACTATCCGACCCCACCATCATGCACCTCCTCCCAAGGGAGACAGTGTGACTATTTGGGAGAGAGGGAGGGAACTAAGGGTTTATTTCTACATTTCAGTGGGTTTTCCCCTTCTGCTCCTGGAGCTTGGTCTGGGGAGTCCTCCTGAGTTTCATGCTGGTTTCTGGTCCTCTGAAAACCTGTGAGTAGGAGGGAGCTTTGTCCTTCTAATGGTACCTCTGTAGTTTCCCCCACTGGTTGATCTTGTGCTCTCTTCCCCTCTCTGGGCTACCAGAACTCTAGGACTCCACATGCCAAGGGCATTTGAGAAAAAGCCCCTGGAGAACCAGAGCTACCCCTCTACCTTTCAGGTCATACCTAAGTCCCACTCAGTACTCACCTGCTTTCCTTCCTCACCCTCATAGAGCAACGATGCCTCAGGGAACACTTGGAACTGGTTGTACTTCATCCCCCTCATCATCATCGGCTCCTTTTTTATGCTGAACCTCGTACTGGGTGTGCTGTCTGGGTAAGTCTCTGCTACTTCTCCCATCCCATTCCCCCACACCATCTTTTCCCCAGGAAGAGGCCATCACAACTTTGTTTTCATTCTCCAGGCACAGAATAGGTCTGTTCTCTTGCTTTGGGTCATTGGTCCATTATCAGCAATCCATGTACAGATGCTCAAGTTGTGCACTTCTGGGGACACCCAGTGAAGAGATTCATGGGAACTGAAATCCAACCCAGGCTTCACTCACTAAGCTTCCCCCCTGACACTGAGCTACTTCCAAAAGGTAGCTCAGTGCCTTTTTTGAAGCTTTTCTCAAAATTTTCAGACCCACAACACAAAACACAAGAAAATTCTATAGAGTTTTAATTTCTATAATTTACATTTTGTAAAAACAATACCAGGTTGGGTTTTCCCCTTCCCTTATTTTCCAAATATAAAATTGTAGCTTACAATCAAACATGCACTTTCATAACACACATTGTACCCTACCCCCAAGATTGTTTTTCTGGCTTCATCATAAATGAGTTTAATTTTTTTCACTACAAGCCTGGGGATTGGTTTGGTGGCTCCATGGTGTCGTGATAGACCCCAGCTTCTTCTAGCTTTCCGTGCTGACATCCTTATTAGAGACTTTGAATCTCATGGATTCTTCATGGTCTCAAAATGGCTACTTCACACTCACAAGATAGGCATCTCACATTCTAAACAGGAGAAGGAAAAAGGGAAACCCGAAGGGTCCTATATCATGGAAGTGAGATTTCTGCAGAAATCTTCAGCTTATGTGTCACTGGCCTAACTTAAAAAAGGGATGAAACTATTCTTTAGCCAGGAGTACAGAGAATGAGAATGAGGTTTACAGCCAGCAGTGGTTGGCATGACATGGTTTATGGTTTCGTGAGTTTTTTGTCTCTAACTGGGTGTAGTTGGTGGGAAACGTGGGAAGCTGGCAGAAATGCCCACTCCTATAGTATTCTGATCTTCTCCCAGAAAACCTGATTCCTCTTGTTTAAATGCACTGCCCTCCAGGGATTCTGAATCCCCCCCCACACACACATGCACATACACACGCACACTCCGTAAAATTTCTAAAACAGCCAGACCTGACTCTGCTGTGCTTCTTCAGGGAGTTTGCCAAAGAAAGGGAGCGGGTAGAGAACCGGCGGGCTTTTCTGAAGCTGAGGCGGCAGCAACAGATTGAACGAGAGCTCAATGGGTACATGGAGTGGATCTCAAAAGCAGGTGAGGCCCTTTCATCCTGGGGCTCAAGAATTGAAATCCCGTGTCACGGAGCACACCTAGAGTCATGCATGCAGTTTGGAGATGGACGAGGGGAGGAGATAGAGGATCCTAACTGGTAGTCCCAATGTTTAGCAACAAGAATCCAGAGAGATGAAGCCAGGACATGATATAACATTATACTCAAGAGCTCTAAAACTAGACATTGGTTTAGATCCCCACTCTGCCACCTCCTAGCCATGCTCCTCACTGCCCTGTGCCTCAGTCTCCCAGCCTGTTAAACAGAGATCATGATAGTACTACCTCATAAAGCTGTTTGAGATGTCCCTAAGGTAATCTAAGCTAAGTGCTTGAACTTCCCTGGCTGTCCAGTGGTTAAGACTCCACACTCCCACTGCAGGGAGCATGGGTTCAATCCCTGGTCAAGGAAGATCCTGCATGCCAAGTGGCTCAGCCAAAAAAAAAAAAACAGAGCAGTACCTAACATGCAGTAGGTATTGTACATGTTTATTTGTTTGGTAATTCAGACAATTATGGGGAACCTGCTATATGCCAGACAGTGTTCTAGACACTGAGATTTGATCTCTGCCTGCAGGGCCCTGATAGTCTAATGAGAGACACAGAAAATAACCAAATACACATAATATTGGGTGTTGCTAAATACTGAGAGGAAAAATAAAACAGAGTAGGAGATAGGAAAGAGAGACAGCAGGGTGAACAACGAGGGTCTCTCTGAGGAGGTGACCTCTGAACAGAGACCTGGAGGAAGTGACTAAGGAAGCCATGTGGATGTCTAGGGGAGGGGCCTTCACGCCAGAGGGAACAGCAAGTGCAAAGGCCCTGGGGTAGGAGCAGAGTGGACTCACAGCAGGGAAGCCAGTGGGGCTGGGGCAGAGTGAGGGGGGGAGGGCAGAGGAAAGGAGGATAGGGAGGTGACAGGGGTCAGATCAGGCAAGATCTTATAAGTTATGGTTAGGAGGTTGGTTTTTATTTTGAAGCAAGTAGGGAAGATGTTGGCATTACAACTGTTGCTTAAATGGGGGGGCTGGGAGTCAAAAGCAAGTTAGCAAGCACATCTCTGGCTGATAGAGTTGTCAGTCAGCAAGGGGAGACTGGAGTGCCTGGGAGGACCCTTCTCCTTCCCTGTCCAAGGGAACCCATCCACAGGAGAGTCCTCCAGATGCTGGAGCATAAATTAACTCTGCTCTTGCTCTTCAGAAGAGGTGATCCTTGCGGAAGATGAAACAGATGGGGAGCAGAGACATCCCTTTGATGGTAACTACTCTGAACTTGGCTTGGGGGTTGGGGTGGGTCCCAGGGAACACAGGAGGAGCCAGAGCTGGAGGAATGGGTTGCTTCTTTCTAAGGGGCCTCCAGGGGATGGATGTTCAGGGCCCAGGTGATGCCAAGAACTAACACAAGACTGGGTCAGGCTCAGGAAGATATGGAGAATGGTGGGACTGTTTCCTCAAGGACTTTCAGGACTTTGACGCAGGGTTTCCGTTTCTTGCCTGCCCCTGTCTGCTTTGACCACGCGCCCAGCTTCTGCTCTGTGCCTCCATTTTCCTCATCTGTCAAATGGGCGTGATAATTACCATGCCTACCTGAGCTGATTGTTCATGGATATTACATTAAGTATGGCGAATAGAATGCATAGGATGCTGTCTGGCTCAGGTCAGCCCCATCTATGTTCACTAAGTAAAATAAATAATAGTAATTTCAGGGACTTCCCTGGCAGTCCAGTGGTTGAGACTTCCTGCCTCCAATGCAAGGGCTACAAGTTCAATACTGGGTCGGGGGACTATGATCCCACATGCCACAAGATGCAGCCAAATTTTTTTTTTTAAAGTAACTTCACAAACGGAAGTACTCTGGTGGCCGGTCCAGTGGTTAGAACTCAACACTTTCACTGCAGTGGCCCAGGTTCAATCCCTGGTTGAGGAACTAAGATCCCACAAGCCATGCACCATGGCCAAAAATAAAAATTTCACCAAGAATCCAGCTTACTATTAAGGACAGTTGTCTCACATTAGAAATTTGTCTAGACAGAGCAATGACTGGATTGAAGAAACAAGGAGTGAGAAGGAAGGAAAGGAGATGGGGCTCCATCCTAAGAGTAAAATGGATTTTACTCTTTGAGAGGAGAGAAAGACATTACCCATAAATGAAAGTGAAAGTCATTCAGTCGTGTCCAACTCTTTGTAACCCCATGGACTGTAGTGTGCCAGGCTCCTTTGTTCATGGAATTCTCCAGGCAGAATACTGGAGTGGGTAGCTATTCATTCTCCAGTGTATCTCCCCAACCCAGGGGTCAAACCCAGGTCTCCTGCACTGCAGGCAGATTCTTTGCCATCTGAGCGACCAGGGAAGCCCAAGAATACTGGAATGGGTAGCCTACCCTTTCTCCAATGGATCTTCCTGACCCAGGAATCAAACTGGGGTCTCCCACATTGCAGGTGGATTCTTTATCAGCTGAGCTACCAGGGAGCGGGGGTGCCTAAATCACTTTATTGAAAGTGTGTGCCTGAACTCACTATCCCCTGGAGAGCACTTGGGGTATAGAACCTAAATATTAAGGAAGGGCTTCCACAGTCCCAGCCAGCCTGGCAAGTGTGCTAAAGGTTAAGGGGGTGGGCTGTTTTCATGGGAGTCTACGTGTCCAGTCCCAGGACTCCTAGAGGGAAAATGTTGACCAAGAGCCCAGACTTAGACTGAGTGGGGGACTTGGTTCTCATCCTTACCCCGTGGGCAAAGTCATGTAATCTCCCCAAGCTTCTGTCCCCACATCTGTGAAATGGGCATACTGTTACTTCCCATGAAACCAAACTGCCACGTGGGTGAAATTCAGTAACGTGAAGAAAGTCCCTAATAGAGCGCCTGGCACCCAGGGACACACGCGGTCAGAGTCGTCATTATAGCAAAGAGGGTAACGTCTTTTTCTCTCGCCATGTTTCCATTGTTGGAGCTCTGCGGAGAGCCACTATAAAGAAGAGCAAGACAGACCTGCTCAACCCCGAGGAGGCTGAGGATCAGCTGGCCGACATCGCCTCCGTGGGTAAGTCCCCCAGCTGCTGCCTGGCTGTCATTTATTACTGATCACCTGTGAGATGGAGGCAAGTGAGGGCTTGGAGCTGCCTGGATTGGGTCGCAATTCTGCCCATTCTCAACTGTATTTCCTGGGGCAGATGACATGATTATGGGAATAACAACACTGCCTGTCTTCTCGTATCATTGTGAGGAGAAGTAAGACTAAATAACCACTGGATCTATGTAAAGTAAAACTAAATAACCACTGGACTGCACTTCCCTGATGGTCCAGTAGTTAAGACTCTGTGCTTCCACTACAGAGGGTACAGGTTCGATCCCTGGTCAGGAACTAAGATCCCACATGCCTTTTGGTGCAGCCAAAAAAAACCCCACATATAGCATTTAGAACACCATGGGGCAGAAAAGAAAGCCACCATGATGTTGGTTAATATTATTCATGAGTAATATTATTATTCATTAGTGCTCATTGTGGGGGCTACTGTTACTGAATGCCCAATTGTGAACAGGACCCGAGATCAAATCCCTACCCTTGTGAAGCTTGCAGTCCAGTGCAGAAAACAGATGTTAAGCAGGTAATCAAAGAAATAAGCTTGTAATGATAACGGCACTGCAGAGGAGATGCTCCTCACTCAGCCTGCTCTGGAAGAGTGGAGTGTGGTCAAGGAGGGCTTCTTGGAGGAGGTGACATTGTTCTGAGAACCGAGGGGAAGATAGGAGTTTGCCACGGCAGTGGTTGCAGAGTGAACCAGGCAGAAGGCTGTGCTCAGGCTGTTGTCATTGGTTATTGCCAAGGACAGAGTTTGAGGTGGGAACATTTGGCTTTCCTTTTTGCCCCTCTTGAGTGAGACTGTTGCTTTGACCTTCTCTAAAGAGATTCTGTTATTTTCTGAAACTGAGTCTTCATTGCTGCTCTCCGGCTTTCTCTACTTGCAGCAAGAGGGGGTCTGATCTTCATGGTGGTATGTGGGCTTCTCCTTGCGGTGGCTTCTCTTATCGTGGAGCACAGGCTCTAGGGCGCTTGGCCTTCAGTAGTTACAGCGCACGGGCTCTGTAGTTGCGGCATGCAGACTCTAGGGCACCGGCTTAGTAGTTGTGGCGGTCTAGCTTAATTGCTCTGGAGCCCGTGGAATCCTCCCAGACCAGGGATTGAACCTGTCCCCTGCATTGATAGGCAGACTTTTATCCACTGAGCCATCAGGGAAGTGCCTGAAATAGGTTCCTAAAAATTCCAATTATGAAGGGGATTCCCTGGTGGTCCAGTGGTCAGGACTCTGCACTTTCACCGCCAAGGGTGCGGGTTCAGTCACTGGTTGGGGAACTAAGATCTGACAAGTCACATGGTGGGGCCAAAAAATAAAATAAAAATTCTAATTATGGGGCCTCCCTCGTGGCCCAGTGGTAAAGAAACCACCTACCAATGCAGGAGACATGAGTTGGATCCCTGGTCTGGGAAGATCCCACATGCCCAGGAGCAGCTAAGCCCATGCACCACAACTTTTGAAGTCCACGCGCCTAGAGCCCGCGCTCTGCAATGAGAAGCCACCACAGTGAAAAGCCGGCAACTAGAGAGTAGTCCCCACTCACTGCAGCTAGAGAAAGCTGGTGCAGCAACCAAGACCCAGCAGGGCTAAAATAAATAAATAAATATATATATTTTTTAATTCTATGCATGAAGAGTGGACGACAGAGCTTCCAGGCAGAGAAAATAACAGGAGACTCTGAGAAGAGTAGACGTTAAGGCTGAATGGGTATCGTGTGGCTGGAGTATAGAGGCAAGGCTGGGGGAGGGAATTCAAAATATACATGTGTTTTGGGGAATTCCAGTGGTTAGGACTGTGGACTTCTATTGCAGAGGATACAGGTTTGAGCCCTGGCTGGGGAACTAAGATCTCACAAGCCAAATAGCATGGCCCAAAAATAAAAATCAAAACATACTCATGTTTCTATTCCCTAGGAACCAACTACTTCATACTCAGGTTCCTTCACTCACCCCTAGTTTATAAGCTTACTGCTGAGTTTCAACATGATTTCCATGCCATCCCACACTCCAGAGGGTGGCCACACTGTGGTTTGCTCAGCCATAGCTTTATTATACGGTGTTTGAGTTGTTTCCGATTTTTGCCTTTACGAGGAGCACTGCTGGGAGCATTTACGTACAGTGACTCCTCCCACCCTTTGGGAGGATTTCCTTGGGGATAATTATAGGATCAAAGATATTAGCAGCTTTTCAACTCATTATTCACAGAGCTGTTCTGAGTTTCAAAAACATTGAACCCATTTATAAACCTGCCAAGTATGCAGACGCTATGGACTCTCCCACCCCGGCCATTGCCTATTACACGTTTAATTTCCTTTCTGGATAAATCAGTTTGTAATGATACCTTAAAGCTTGTTTTCATTTGCATTCTTAATTTCTAGCCAAAACACTCTTTTCCTCGTAATGATGAACAAATCCTACTTCCACTTGTGGATACATCTGTTTCTGTCCTTCCAGAAAATTCATGAATTAGGATGCTCCATCATTGCCCGGTGCATTTGATTAGTTATGTCTGTCCCACAAATTTTCCCATTTAAGTTGCCCAATTTTCTAATCTGTTATGTTAAATTTTGATAGGCAAACACTTTGTTTATACCACATTTATTAAATGCCAGGCACTGAAAACATGGGATACCCAAGTCAGACACTCCTCTATGGATAAGATTGAGTTGTTGTTCAGCCGCTAAGTCGTGTCCAGCTCTGCGACCCCATGGACTGCAGCATGCCAGGCTTCCCTGTCCTTCACTGTCTCTGGGAGTTTGCTCAGACTCATGTCCATTGAGTCGGTGATGCCATCCAACCATCTCACCTGTTCATAATTAACGGGGAGATACTATTTGTCATCAGTCCTTCTAGAAAAGATGAAGAAATATTACTACCCAATGTTGGCAAAGATGTGAAAAAATGGGCATAGCCTTATGCTGTTGGCAGGAATGTAGTTTGCAGTGTTTTCTGATGTATGGTTGGGCATTATTTAATTGTTGATGTTTATATTCTTTGACCTAGAATTTCTGCTTCAGAAGATTTCTTCATGTATGCCAAAGATCTGTATACCAGCCTCTTCTTAGCAGCACTGTTTCTGGTATTCAGAAAAGTAAAAACCAGAAACGACCCATGTGCCCCAAAGTAGGGAGATGGTTAAAGAAATTATATAACATTTATATATCATCGAGTACTCTGATGCCAGGAAAAAGAATGGAGCTGTTATGGCATGGAAAGATGTCTGAAATATATTTTTTGGTGAAAAAATAGCAAGTTGTACAATGCCATGTAAAATATGTGGTCTCATTTTTGAAACAATATTAAGAAGTGTGAGAGGTACTTAAAGATGTGGAAACTGAAGGGATTGCAAAGGATTTTCACTTTCTCCATGATATTTTCCTGGAATGGATGGATTAGTGACAGGCATTACTTTTTTAATTTTTATTTATACCGGGGCTTAGCTGCAGTACACAGGATCTTCATTGCATCATGCAGAATCTTTCATTGCATCATGCAGAATCCTTCAGTGCAGCACACAGACTCTCTAGCTGTAGCATGTGAGCTTAGTTGCCTCGAGTTGTAGCATGTGGGATCTTAGTTCCCCAACCAGGGATAAAACTCCTGTTCCCTGCATTGCAAGGCAGAGTCTTAACACTGGAGCCCCAGGGAGGTCCCCAGGCATTACTTTTGAAATCAGAAAAAAATAATTAAATAAATTTAAAGTTACTTAAAAGCAACAGAGTCTTAATTGTGCATGCGTGCTAAGTCGCTTCAGTCTTGTCTGACTCTTTGTGACCCTATGGACTGTAGCCTGCCAGGCTCCTCTGTCCATGGGATTCTCCAGGCAAGGATACTGGAGTGACTTGCTATGCCCTCTTCCAGGGGATCTTTCCAACCCAGGGATCGAACCTGTGTCTCTTACGTCTCCTGAATTGGCAAGCAGGTTCTTGACCACTAGCGCCACTTGGGAAGCCCACAGAGTCTAATTATAAAGAATCTAAAGGCCGTACAAGGCAGGGAGGAATTTGGTGGAAAAGCAAAGAAAAATTCATGAAAAGAGGAGTTTTTAAAAACTGGGCTTTGTACGGAGTGGAAAGAGTGTTATCAGTTCGCTGGGGTGATCATAATAAAATAGCAGAGACTGGGTGACTTAATTCTTTAAAAACAGAGACTTAACTTTCTCCGAGTCCTGGAGGCTGGAAGTCCAAGATCAGGGTGTTCTCAGGATTGGTTTCTGGGGTGGACTGTCTCCTGCTTGCAGATGGTCATCTTCCTGTGTCTTCACACAGTCTTTCCTCCATGTGTGTTGTGTCCTAATCTTCTCTTCTTATAAGGACACCAGTCATGGAGGATTAAGGCCCACCCTGATTATCTCATTTTCACTGAATTATGTCTCTTTTAACTTATTCATTTATTTTGGGCTGTGCTGGGCCTTCATTGCTGTGCCAGGGCTTTCTCTAGTTGCAGCGAGCGGGGGCTGCTCTCTAGCTGCGGTGCACAGGCTTCTCATTGCTGTGACTTCCCTTGTTGCAGAGCACGGGCTCTAGGCATGCGGGCTTCGGTAGTTGCAGCTCACAGGCTTAGTTGCCCCATGGAATGTAGAATCTTCCTGGACCAAGGATCAAACCCTTGTTTGCTGCCACTAGACCATCAGGGAAGTCCTATTTTAATTACTTCTTGAAAGGCCCTATCTCCAAATACAGTTGCAATTCAGAGACACCTGAGGGGCAGGGGGTGGTTAGAACTTCAGTCTATGAATTTAGGGGATGATACGGTATGGCTCCTAATGAGGGGATAGTGAGAATGACCCTGAAAGCCACGATGGATTCACAGAGGGTCTCTCTGTGGCTGACCTAAGAAAACTTGGAGAAGCCATGTTTAAGGCTGGCATTCGATGAACACGTGATAAAAGGAAGATAAGAAACCAAAGTAGAAAGCTGTCAGACTGAATAAGGACTGACTCTGTCCCTTGGCACCTCTGTTAAGAA